TGAAGAACACTTACACTGTAAGTATATTATGATTTTGGTTGTGAAGAACACTTACACTGTAAGTATATTATGATTTTGGTTGTGAAGAACACTTACATTGCAAGTGTATTATGATTTTGGTTGTGAAGAACACTTACATTGCAAGTGTAAACATTTAAAGGCTGAGCGATGTATGACAACTTTGAAGACTGATTGTCTTGCCAAAAGAAAACTAGCTTTTAAAAAGTAACTGAGCTGAAATCATAAATAGGGACAACCACTCTGTGAGTTGTTGCACAATTTATATCCGATCCAAGAAAGCTACTTGCATCACTCTGTGAGTTGTTGCACAATTTATATCCAACCATCTTCAATAGTACACGAAACAATCCACTAATGTTGGTGTTCCATCTTCAATAGTACACGAAACAATTCACTAATGTTGGTGTTCCTTTAGAAAGATATGCTTTGTTCTTTCGTTAATGTTACATTCATTAACAGCATTGTTTAGAATGTTTAATATATCCATTTTGGTTAGTTTTAGTTTGATATTATTACATTTTTATTGCAAAGATTATTTTGTATTGTTAGTGTAGTATATTGATTTAGGACTAACTTTTATCACCTAAGCTGGCCAAACCTTATTTGATGTTATTGGAATTGTGGTCAAACATGTTGCTAACAGCAAGGTTAATCAACCAATAAAAAATGTATTTTTCTTATAAGTAAGAATTAAGAACTCTATTTAATTAGCTTTACCCATCACAAGATAGATTTTTAGTTGTGAGGTATGCAAGTAGCTTTCTTGGACCTGTACTATTGAAGATGGAACACCAACATTAGTGGATGGTTTCGTGTACTATTGAAGTTAGAACACCAACATTAGTGGATTGTTTTGTGTACTACTGAAGATGGAACACCAACATTAGTGGATTGTTTCGTGTACTACTGAAGATGGAACACCAACATTAGTGGATTGTTTCGTGTACTATTGAAGACAGAACACCAACATTAGTGGATTGTTTCGTGTACTATTGAAGACAGAACACCAACATTAGTGGATTGTTTCGTGTACTATTGAAGATGGAACACCAACATTAGTAGATTGTTTCATGTACTATTGAAGATGGAACACCAACATTAGTGGATTGTTTTGTGTACTATATGCAACAGTTTTGAAATGGTCCTAACAATCAATATAACTTTTAATCTTATAACCTATGGCAAGAAGATTGCAAGTTTCCCACAAAACTGACTGAATCTCGAATTCAATATGCTCAAAGACAATCCTCGTTTATGAAAAATATGAAAGCGAGTTTAAGAGCTCTGACAAAGAAATCTTTTAATGTTGGATAAGTTGATCTATTTCAATAAGTTAGTGAGTAGTAAACATTGTAACGTAACTTATTTGGAATACTTTGGAAATGGAAAGTTTATAACTTCAAAATTAAAAGTGTATGTTTTATACAAAACTTTGAACTAAAATGTTTAATTAACGATGCTGATGTCTAAATCTGGTTAATGTGCTTTGTTTTAGTGAAACAGCAGATTTGTCCAGAGTAAGAAACACAGCTTTTAAAATAGCTATAAAGAAAGTATGAACAGGACTGGATAGAGCAACATTTAGACTTTTCACATACCAGTAAGTAAATACACTGGTTTGAGCAATAGTTCATGGTTTGTGAAAAGATTTCTTATCCAAGCAAAATTGTTTGTGTTAAATTAATACAGAAATTATATTGAATGAGAAAACATCAGGTTCAGTTTAGTGAGTAAGGTAGAGGTGGCAGTAAAATATTCTTTTGACTGAATATTTCGTTTTTGGTATTCAAACACTGTACATAAATGCTAGACTAACTAGCGAATTAATGATTTATAATTACAGTTATGATATGTTTCAAATAAAAACATTATTACTTTTACACTGATAGTGACACATTTACATTATCTGATTTATGGAGATCAGTGGAGGATTACCATATATTTCACAACAACAAAAATTGTGACCATCAGTGAAATAAAAAATCTTAAATTTTCAGATAATCTTTAGAAAAAATTTGTGTGAAAAAAGTTTTCCTATTTTTTCTTGAGAATACTGAATTAGTTGAATACAGTTGATTAATGAGAGCCAAATGATTAATCGATTAGCAAATTCCACTTATCGCTTAGCTGTAATGAAAGGTAGAGTTTAAGATTTTGCTAATTTTGGTGGCACAATTTATGTGTTGCTTTGTAAGATTGACAACAAATAATTTGAGTTAAAATGAGATGTCTCAGAAAATAATTAAAACTGTGTCATTCAAGTTAAATTTCGGTGAAGCAGTATACCGTGGAAGCTACAATAAATTGTTTATGAGAAGAAAAAGATGTTACCTTTTTCATCAGGTTCTACCAATTTAGAAAGAACAGACTTTATAGCAGGAATGGGAATCTCAGAAAATACAAAGATTGCTGCACCTAAGATGATAAAAATAAAATTAAAAACACTGCACAGAAGAGAATTACCACAGCAGTGTAGGAAATAAAGGTACACCTTCAAGTTTTGTTGTTAACTATAAATGTAATTCTTTCATATAAAACTTACTATTATAATGGAAGAATCTGAATAAAAATTAAATATGTTACAATCAATAATAAGACGTGCAGTTTCATTTGTTTGTACATCTGTTTTCAAACTATGAATACATATTTTAAACGAAAAATATTTCTGAAAAATAAACACTATAACATCTGCATTTTTGAAAGAATTCAAGGAAAATTAATATCAGTTCAACAAACGTTTATTTAAAAATAAAGTTAAAACTAATATTTTCACTGTTACATTATACCAATAATAACATCCATTGTAAAATTACAATCTACTTTTGTACATATTTAAGCAACTTAAAAAATGCACTTGAGGCACTACCACTGCCCTCTTACCATTAAATTATTTGTAAACTCTATAAATGTCACAAAATTATACCAACTGACAAAAAAAATTACATTATAACTTCTCTACATAAAGGGTAACAATAATGTGGTAATTGGAATCAGACCCAAGACCCTCAAATCATTACCAAAGCTGAACATTTTTGAAGTAAAGAAAAATTATAAATCTTAAAGTAGCATTTCAATACTTGCAATGAGCAGAGAACAGATAATGTATTAACTATTTTTGTGCTTAACAACAAACAAACATGATGGCAATATTTCAATTACTTGGATAGTTGGAATAATATAAAATCAATTTAATTGTAATTTCAATTAACTGTTTGTTTGAAGAATTTAAAACAGTAATAATCAGAATAACTAATTTCAATTAATTGACTGGTTTATGTTATAATTGTAATTCAATTAATTGACTGGTTTATGTAATAATTGTAATTCAATTAATCGACTGGTTTATGTAATAATTGTAATTCAATTAATTGACTGGTTTATGTGACAATAATTAATGTACGCATTATGACATGTTCTTCTGTAAAATTTAACCATGCTAATAAGAATATATGCTATTTAAATTCTTGTGTTATTAGTCATGTATTCTTATGAAATCTGAAAAGCTTGTGCTACTTACTGATGTAAACCATGGACGAAGTTGTACTAAACCCAAGAACGGCCAAACCTATTCCTCGAGACAATGTTCCTACTAGACCAATAAAAGTGTCTGGAACATGAAACCAGCGAGACAATACAGGCATACCAATTAGTAGGCCTGAGCCACAAACAGCAAGCTTCAGGGCACTGATGGAACTGTACTTTGACTGACTCCAATTCAGAGGCTCATCAGTCAGAAAAATGAAGAGAAGGTCAACTTGAACTGTGATTTAAAAAATAACTTTCTCAAAATGTTTTTTTTAACAAATGACATTAAAAATAATTAGGTTAAGTTCCAGAAATTCAAATCATTTACAATGTTGTATTACAATGTTTACATCACCAAGAGGAACACACCATGATAACTAATGCCTGGCTTAAGGTTCATTATGTACGACACTAACAGGTTATCTTGAGTTACTTTATATATATAAATATATATCACAAGCTTAATGCCCGTCATAAGATAGGAAATAATGATTAATTTTTCTTCTCAAAATTATATCTAAATAAATGTTTTATGAACAAGTTTTCTAAAAATTAATTATAATCTGGTAACAATATATGTACGGAGAATGTCTATCCTATTTCTAGTATTTCATAAAAAATAACATTTTTTACATAAATTTGATCATCTGCTTTAAGTATTGACTTCTGTATATGTTCAAATTTTCTTCTCGATAAATCTTAATAGACTGAAGCATGTGAAAGAAACAATTCTCAAAGACATATTCCTATTGGTCAACCATATGACCCTACAAATTATTAACTGTGATGGTAAAAGCAGTGAATTTTTTCTGAATTTTGGGGTCTTTCTTTGGACTGTCTTCCTGGTTTTGGCTTTGTTAGCCTGCTGAGCTGAAGAAGCATGGTTTAACTTGGGCATTTTCAACATTGAAATGTGCTGCGGGTAAAACATGCTGGTTATTATAGAGTTGTAGACAAAGGTTCCGATTGAACAAAATATGGTGATGTTGTGTCAATGTGTCTTCTTGACAACCAAGCAAAAGTAATGGGGAATTTCAGTCAATAATTATGATTATTGTGCACCAGCAATACCAAGAATGGGGCACATGTATACCCAAATCAATTTTATTACTCATCCCAATCTCTACCAACCTACCCTTAAATCTAGTTATAAGGCCCAAAGTAGCACATCATCCATTTTGTATATGTTGATGTATGACTAGAAAAATTTTAAAAAGACAAACTTGCTTGTCACAGCAGAAAGCACTATCGTTTCATGCAAATTGCATGTCGATCAGTACTGCAACAGTCAAGATATTGGCATGACAGACGGATGGCTTTTAATCTATATCTAGTAGATTAAACTTATAAAGAAATTTCTGACTTCAAGAGAAGTCGCACTAATAGTGAAACACTCCAAGTTTTCTTAAACCATGTGAATTTGCAACATAATAGAGGTACATGCACATTCTCCAGTTTCAATGTGGGTAATAATATCTTTTAACAAAAATAATTACAAATTGAAGAAATATGCCAGAGTACTTCTGAAAAAAAAAATGCAAATAAAATAAACAGATTAAAGTGCTAAAATGAACAGTTAAATTTAATTGTGATAAAAGCAAAACTTAGAAATTGGGCCTCTAAATAAAAACAACTCAAATGATGAGCACATAATAATAAAATCTCAGATACAAATGGTTTATCAGTCATTTAAAGTTACTTTATAAGAGCTTTTAGTACTTTATGAAAAACGAAATTATTTATTTTTTTTTAACTTTCTTTAGTAGAAAGTAAAGATTGTCTTGAATAACTGTATCAGATTCAGTTTTGATAATAAACTACAAAGTTAGAAACCTAAAGTCATCTTACCCACTAATCCATAATACAGTAAAGCTCCAGCAAGAAGAAAAAGTATAATATGTAGGCGTCTGTTTCCGAGTCTGTACTTGAAAACTGTTTGCAGTACTTCAGTAAAATGATGAATGGTAAAGAATTTTTGACAAAAATGTTGTGTTTCTTCATTAAGTCTTTCAGAATCTCTACTAAGCTGTGGCTTCAAATCATCGATCAGAAATAAAATATAGAAAACAACTGCAACGTGAAGACAAATCTCCAGAACAAAAGCGTTGGCAAAACCCACAACTTTTAACACTGCTCCTCCAACATAAAACCCAACCATTCCTCCTATAAACAACATAGCTTCTAGAAAAGCCATACGTTTTGTACGCATTTCTGTCGTGGTGATGCTTGAAAGATAGCTAAATGTGATGGTAATCATGGCAACGGTTCCACCACATAAGCCTGAGATAGTTCCGCTGATCAACAACACAGGAAGAGGAAAATAAAAAATGAAGCAGCTAAACACCACTGAGTTTATACATGCAAGAACGGAGCCAAGCGGTGGAATTAACAGAGGAAACTTTTTGTTGAATTTATCAGACCACGAACCAATGTACAATGTCGAAATAATTGCCACTGTATAAAGAACAAGGTTGTAATACTGTATCCAGACATTTGTTTGGTCCTGTACAATACGAAGAGTTTCATTTTTTAACTTTTCGCATAAATTAATGTTATATAAATCTGTTTCTTGGAAGCAAATTTTGGTTCTTATTAGATCCTGGAATATACTCATCTCCAAAAATATAGCCATTGTGTACATAAGCAACACAGGCTCTACAGTAATAGACTTGAAAAATATCTTCAGTCCTTCCATTACTCTTCTAGGTTGACTATCTGAAAAATGCAACTACATAAAAACATATTAATTAATTATACTTTGAAAAATAAAAACTAATAAGGTTATAAATCCTGCAGTAAATAAGTTGACATATTTAACAAAACGAAAACACACCCCAACAGAATATCCCACGAGTTGACTGCCATTTTAACGCTGAGGAAATGAACACTGCTTGTTTCTTTGCAGATTTTTAGATAGCGTCATGTGAACATGTTAGGGTAATATGAACTAAATATTTTCAATAATGTATCAATTTTGAGGTTTCAATATATCCTGTAACAGTGCATGAACATTCAGCCTACGACACCAACTTTTGGGACACTCTGTACAACTATACTCAAAAGGGAGGCTTATCAATGAGTTAAAATAGTTTAAGTTAAAAAATCTAAGAATGGAATTTTTCTAGACATATAAACAAAATAATGTATGCAAGCTAATAATGGACTTTTTATTTTCATTTAAAAAAAAGAAAACAATAATACATAAACAATGGGAAAAAAACAAGAAACGGTCTTAGCCCTATCTTTGGGAGGAGGGACTCAAACTTTATTCTAAAGCTTTTTTGTTCTTGATTTTTATCACTGACAAATTCAGTCTCTGGATCTCAAGCTAAGCTGTTTTTCACCCACCACAAATTCTTTTTGCTAAAAAAAAACAGATAAAAAATATGTATCAGTTAATAGATAAAAACAATAATAAAATATCACACAATGGTATATAATTAATATGGTAAATCTTTAATTTGCACTTTTGTTGATTATATATCTTACATACACTGAAACTGAGTCACATATTCCTTCCCCTAACATTTTATCCACTGCTATTCTTCATGCTCAGACACCTTGCCCCATTTTTATTTCAAAAATTTAAGTTTTCTGTATACATTTGTCATGTGAAAATCATACCTGCTATAATTACAGTTCATAATATACATGGAAAAAATATACCACATTGGAATTGTTTATAATGTTAAACACACTGTAGTATGAAGTTCTAAACCTTTCAAACAGAGTGAACTCAATCAAGGATACAAAAATAAATATTTCTTGACTTCAGTATTGTTTAAAAAAGCAGTAATGAATTTTTTTTGTGCATTATACAAAGTAATAGATTTAAAACATGATGTACTCATGCCCCTTAAAAACAAAGAACATTCAGAAATAAAAGATTAGGGAGGATATGTCCCACCAGGAATATTAGCAAAAAACAGGTTACCGAGGGAAGAGCTATCCAGAAAAAAATGACCAAACATGGTAAGACTGGAATTAAAATAACCACCAGTGTTGTACTTTATACCAACTAATTTATTTCTCATGTTTTCTTATTGATAAGGATTACCTTAGAAATATTTTATGTTCATTACATTAAGTGATAATTCATTAAATGTCCCAACATAAAAACGTCTATGCTTCGTAAATGGAGCTCAAGAAACAAAAGTGAAATATAAAGTTTTTCTTTTGTTGTTGTTGTGCCAAATAGAATTGTCCAACATGAAAAATCAATTACTTCCAAGTTCTGAAAACAGCTTATGAATATAAAAAAAAGCTGGTACAATGTTGAATAAGAGATCATGGTTCATTTTTTTATTTACATAAAAATAAAACTATAGAACAATGAACCTATTGGTCCATGTAAGCTGTCCCATTCACTGAACTATAAAACAAAACAACTCAAAGACAATCCTTATCATTAAGATAATAATCAAGCATTCCCTTAAACTTATTGCTTCTGTTACGTCTCCGTTTGTTAATTAACTTCCCGTAACTTCGTTCCGACGAAACTTTAGCGACACAAGTATTTACTTAATAAAACTGGTTTATTCTTTCCGAATATAACTCTGCGATACACTTAATCTCAATATTCGCGCTAAAACAAACAGTATCACGAACGAACGTTAACTTCAACAAT